TTATGGCTGAGTAGTATTCCAGTGTGTATATATACCACAGCTTCTTTATCCATTCGTCCCTTGATTGGCACCTAGGTTGCTTCCAAGTTTTGGCTATTGTGAAAAATGCTGCAATGAACATAGAGGTGCGTGTATCTTTACGCATTGGTATTTTCATGTTCTTTGGATAAATACCCAGCAGTGGAATACCTGAATCATATGGTTGTTCTATTATTAATTTTTTGAGGAATCTCCGTACTGTTTTCCATAGTGGCTGCATCAGTTTGCAGTCCCACCACCAGTGTATGAGAGTTCCCTTCTCTCCACATCCTCTCTAACACTTGTTGTTTCCTGTCTTGTTAATTATAGCCATTCTGGCCAGAGTGAGGTGATAGCTCACTGCAGTTTTGATTGCATTTCCCTGATAGTCAGTGATGTTGAACATTTTTTCATGTGCCTGTTAGACATCTGTATATCTTCTTTGGAGAAATGTCTGTTCAGGTCTTTTGCCCATTTTTTAATTGGAGAGCCCTTGCTTTTAAATGCACTTCTTAAATGATGGTACCTAATTGGAATTTCCTCATAATGGCCATTGCAATTCTAGATTGTAATTCGCTTGAGGGTCGGCAGCAGTTTGGTAGGATCCTAGCCACAAATGGAGTTTAATCTACATTTCCTGTCCAGCCATATTTAGCTGTAAAGGGGAGTGTTGACCAAAATGAAATTTTGAAGAATAAAAGGCTTCATTCAAAAAAAAGTTTGCAAACTGGGGAAGTACACCTCAACTCGCAAGTCAATAGTCAACCCCCATCAGTCTTTGGGTGGCTGGTTTTTAGAGGCAAAAAGTGCGGAGTTTGCAAGGCTAAGTCCAGTTCTGATTGGTTGCCCTTCCCAGCTACAGTGTATCTTGTGTCCGGGGTTTCTAAATGTCCTAACTGCAGGGAAAGGCTACTGCATTGTTCTCCAGACATCTGGTGACAGTCAAGGTTAAAAATCTAATTTTTTATTTCTGCCCATAGTTCAGCCTTGAGGTCATCATGGTAACCATCACATGGACTCTGGCCTCATTCCTTTCTTTTTCTTTAATCAGGTGCAACCCACATTTCTGTTTGACCATATTTTGGGGCCCCCAACCTGATGGTTACCAAGCCAAACTCTCAGGACACAGTAAGATTTTACTATTTTTGTAGATATTTGTAGTTTCTGGGACCATAGTTCTTAGACATAAAATAGGCAGGTGAGCTGGAAGGTGGTGTGGTCAACTCTGGAATTTAAGGATCCCATCCTTATTGTTTCTTTATTTATTTTAGCTAAGTCTTTGGGTCTCTCAGAGCCAGATTAATACGTAAGAGGGATGTGCTGCAGGGTTGGGGATTGTGTGATATTTTAGAGTGTACCTCATTGCATGGGAATTTACCCCACAGACCCTTCACCCAGCTTTAAAAATGGCCAACTTCTAGCCAACATGTTTTCATCTTTACTCTCTCTTTCTGCCCCAAGGTACTCCCCCTCCCCAATTATCTGGACGTAAATTCAACTCATTACATTATTTCAGCTGCAAAACTTCTAGTATGTATTTCCAAAATATCAGGACTCTTTTAAACATAGCCATTTTATCATACCTACAGCTTCCTTTGGAGCAGCTGTCTGATTTGACATGGGAGGAAACTAAGAGTGAAAGGTCATATCTGTGAAAAATGAACAATAATTCTTTAATGTCATCACATCTCCAGCCTTATAACCTTTAAAACATTATTTGATTTGGGATCCTGTAAGATACTGCAATTGGTTGATATGTTTCTAAGTATCTTTTAATCTAGGTCCTCTATATGTATTTTACCCCTTAGAATTCTTTTTTTTTTTTTTTTTGATGAAGAAACTGGATAGTTTGTCCTGTGGAGTTTTCCACATCCTGGATCTGGCTGATTGCAATAGACCAGGATTTCCAATTCCAACAGGGTATTCCATCAGATGCCTCTTTGTTCCCCATTTGCTGGGGGGTAAGCTTGCTTCCTATAAGCAACGCTGCTGTGATCATCCTTGCAAGATCCTTTCCTTGGGATAATTTCTCAGAAGTGGCATTGTTGGATCAAAAGATGGGCAGAAATGAAAAAGTTTTGATAAACATTGGCCACCTGCCTTTTAAACTCTGTGACCATCAGAAATTGATTTTCATGGGGCTTATTCATTCCAGGAACTCTTGCCACGTCTTGCTTGAGAGCGTTTCTCAGATTGTTGTTCCTGGAATCTCAGTGCTATGGGACGCATGTGTCTGCCCCTGCTCTCAGGTGAGTGGAACAAAGAATTCCCATCTCTTCTCCCCTTGATCACAGTATCCTAGCTTTTGTTGCTCTTCCAAATTTGGCACTTTCTCCAGAAATTACTGTGTGTGCCTGTCCTACTAGAAAACCTCATATTGATTCTCTTGGTTGCTCTCCCCCAAAGCAGAACTGAGACAAAGACTTGGAAGCAAGTAGTTTGTTTGGGAGGGGATCCCAGGAAGCACAAGGGAGGGAGTGGGGCGTCAGAGAGGGAAGGGAGAAGAGTGAATGAAGGGTGTGTTAATGAGAGGTTACCACTCTGGGTAACTGACACTGAATCCTGTGGGGGACCCTCTAAGAAGCAGTACCTAATGTGTCTTATATGGGCAAGAAGTCTGAGCTATTTATCCTCTAGTCTGCATCCCTCACTACTTGACAGCCAGTCCTAGTGTAACTCCCAAACATTTCTGGTCTGCCACGCACAGGCAACAGAAAAATACCCCCTTACAGAGAGATGCAGTAAGTTATCTGATGCATAGAGCCCCCTCAAAGTAGGCTAAGGGACACTTCAAGCATCTGCTACACTGATTGACTGCCAAGAGGTTCCATGCTTGGAATATTGTAGCTTATAATGTTACAATGATCTGGATTTATACACCCTTCTGCTCTGAAATTTAAGATCTTCAAGGTAATTTTAAAAAAAACATAGGAGTATTCATATAGAGTTTTATGATCTTATAAGCAAGCATGCGATATCCAATACCCTATGTCAAGGGTGGACAAGCTTTTTTGGAAAGGGCCAGACAATAACTATTCTCAGCTTTGTGGACCATATGGTCTCTGTCTTAATTTCTCAGCTCTATGCTGCAGTGCAAAAGCAGCCACAGACCTTACGTGAACTGAAGGGAATTACTGTGTTCCAATGACACTTGATTTATAGACATAGATATTTGAATTTCATATAATTTCCACATGCCATGAAATATTCTTTTTCTTTTGATTTTTTTAACCATTTGAAAAGTGTAAAAACCATTCTTAGCCCATAGGTCATACAAGAACAGGCAGTGATTCTGGATATGCTGATGCCTGAGCGTTTTTGACTTGCAAAAATGGCCACGTCATGTGATTTAGCCTAATATTATGGATACTTAAATATAATGGTTTTCTCAGTATCCATGATGTAGAGCATCATAAATATTGTAGAAGAGGTAGGAAGAGCAGATGTTGACCTTGTCTAGTCCAGGGGATTTGTCTGGTTCTATGATAATCCAAACGGGTCATGGGCAGATTCCCTACCCACCCCCCCTTCCATATGATAGAAATCCAAATTACCTAGTTTATATTCATCTTACTTAAACCATCTGGGGGCTGATGTCAGCTGTGAAAGCAGATGCTTCCAGATTTTAGCAAAGGATTCCAACACAACATGCTTGCAATGAAAGGCATACGGGAAAAATCCATTTTTCAAGTGTCTGGTCATTCCTAGCCTATCTTACTTTGAGGGAGTGATATTAGGAAATATGTAGAAAGGTTCTCTGCCTTTCTGAGTTCACACCCAACTTTAATTAAAGTTTCTGTCTAATAATGTAGTAGACCTTTTAGATCATCTTCAAAATGAATCATCCCCAAAACAGCTGTATCCATTCCAAATTTGCCACGGTACGTGGACTCCCAGGATTCTTACTGTCTGTGCTATTCAGATCTCCTCTTACTACAGATAAAGCACTAGTTCTTAAGAGGTTATACCTGTGTTGTCCAGTACCATAGCCGCCAGCCACTTGTGGCTACTCAGCACTAGAAATGAGACCAGTCTGAATGGAGATCTGCTATACATGCAAAATGCATACTGGATTTCAAAGACTTAACACACGCAGAAAAGAATGTAAAATACTTTTATTATTGAACCAGGTTTGTTCTGCCCACTTATGCCAATCACTGATACAACGAGTTTGCAGCAGAGAAAGCATTTAATTCACAAGGTAGCCAAATGAGGAGATGGGAGAACCAGTATCAAATCCACCTCCCCCCAAAATGGAGATTAGGGATATTTATGGGATAAAAGGGTGGGAAGGTCTGAAGTGTGGGAATAGACGATTGAAGGTAAGGACAAGTGAGGTAACTGATCTGTGCAAGGGCAGTCAAACTTCATGGCTCTTCATAGGATGCATGTTCACAAAATGGCGGCATTACCATGATCTGAGGGTGGAGTTTTCAGTTCCTTGACATCAAAGGGTCACCTGTCGGTCATCTGTGCAGCCCCAGTTGATGAATCAGTGGTCTTAACCAGCCTGAATTGGACAAAGAGTCAACTCTCAGTTCCTGAAAAACTTAGGCACTCATTACCATGGTGACTCAAGCGTCAGAGATGTCATCTGTAGAGTGGATTTTAGTAATGTGTTATCTAACCACTTTTGCAAACAGACAACCAAGAACTGTTAAAGCAAGTTGGCCCCCAGTTCCACTTTATGAATAATTTGTTTTATATCGATTGCGTGTTAAAATGATGACATCTTGACTACATTGGGTTAAATAAAGTATATTAATGAAATTAATTTTACCTGTTTCTCTTTGCCTTTTAAAAATGTGGCTACTAGAAAAAGTTAAAAGGACCTATGCAGCTCATATTATATTTCTATTGGACAATGTGGGGTTAGAGGTCTGGAGGGGTAGAAACAGAGCGTTGAACAAAGAAAGAAGGTTGTGAATTTGGTCTTTTGGTTCTAGACCTGAAGAAAAGTTTTATGAGCTGCTGGATTTTCAGAAATTGGGACATACAGCTTGTGACATTGTGATTTATAATAAGAAATATATATTTGGTCTTCCTCTTTGTTTCTAGCACAGAGCTCCTAAAACCCTTGGAATTTCCTATGCGTAGAGAGATAAAGTTGTCTTACGTTATCTTAATGAGGTGACTTTTGGAAAGCCCCAAGATCACCGAAGGATGGCAGCTGGTTGCCAGTGGAGCCAACCATGTGATCAGAGGGTTGGAACTTTCAGTCCCTCCCCCTTACCTCCCTTTAGGGGAGAGGGGCTGGAGATGAAGTTCAATCACCAACAGCTAATGATTTAATCAATAATATCTATGTAATAAATCCTCCATAAAAACCCAAAGGGACAAGGTTCTCAGAGCTTCTGGGTTGGTGACCATGTGGAGATTTGGGGAGAGTGGTGCTCCTGGAGAGAGCATGGAAGCTCTGCACCCTTTTCCCATATCTTGCTCTACACATCTCTTCCATTTGGCTGTTCCTGAGTTATATCCTTTCTATAATAAACCAGTGATCTAGTAAGTAAACTGTTTCTCTGAGTTGCTCTAGCAAATTAATAAAACACAAGGAGGTGGTCATTGGAACCTCCAATCTAGAGCCGGTCAGTCAGAAGCCCAGGTGACAACCTGGACTTGTGATTGGCATTTGAAGTGGGGATGGGGTAAGTCTTGTGGGACTGAGCCCTTAACCTGTGAAATTTGATGCTATCTCTAGGTAGATAGTGTCAGAATTGAGTTGGATTATAGAACATCCAGCTGATGTCTGAGAATTGCTTGTTGATGTGCGAACCCACCCCACACACCTTAGAATTGGGTGCAGAACCTCTTACAGTTGCAACTGGATGTACTTTTCGTGCTCCAGTAGTATATGATGCTCTCCTGTGACCCTCAGGTTTATAGCCTACATGGAAGAATCTACAATGAAGCTAGCACATGTATGACTGGTTAGTGGAAGACAAAGCCCCTAACTCACCTAGGCTTCAGCCAAGCAGAGCCCCAGGGCATCCCCCGTCTGAACTGTCCCTTTCTCTTTCTGTTCCAGGTCTCAGTGTCCTGCTGGCTCTGTCAGGATCGGATGCAGAGAATTCTGGAGGTGAGTCTTCTCATTGTCAAAGACCTGGGGAATGGAAATTGGGACCTGGAACCTGCTTCCAGAACCCTTTCCAAGGGAAAGAACACTAAATCTCTGCTGCCTTCTGCCTACTCTTTGGAGTTCCCAAGGACTATTTTCCCATCTTCACTATCATCCCATTTCTTTAGCTCTTGCATTGCACCAGGTTCAGTGCTAAGCAAATTGCACAGGCCATCTCATTCAATCCTCATGACACTCCTGTACAGAAGGTCCTGACATTATCCCCACTTGACCAATGGCCCTCTAGAGAAGTATCTGGCTCAAGGACACACAACTGGTGGACGTTGGACTCTGTCATTTGTTTCCCAAAAGCCTGTGTCCCAAGTCATGCTGGAGATAGTTTTGCCTTTTCCCCATGTCTTGGGTTGGGTTCTCCCAGAAGCACACCCTGAGATAAGGACTTGAGAGCAAGTCATTTATCTGGGAGTTGATCCCAGGAAGCACTTGCTGCGAGGGGAAAGTCAGATGGGGAGGTGAAGAGCCAATACAGGGTCCCTTATCAAGCACGTTACATGTGAGTAACTGGAGCCTGATACCCTGGAGACTGTTGGGCATCATAAGAAGCATGCACCTCAGAGTTATTCCCCACAACGGGTAAGGAAGCTGTTTTCTTCTTATTGGTTTATTTTTAAATGGTGGTAAAATATGTATATCATAAAATTTACCATTTTAACCATTTTTAAGTGTGCAGTCTGTGGCATGAAGTACATTCATGTTGTTGTGCAACTGTCATCACCATCCATCCACAGAACATTTTTCCTCTTGCAAAACTGAAACTGTGTACCCATTAATCCATAATTCCTCATTCCCTCTCCCACCAACCCCTGAAAACTACCAGTCTACTTTCTGTCTCTATGAATCTGACTACTCCAAGTACCTCATGTAAGTGGAATCACACAGTGGTTGTCCTTTTGTGATGGGCTTATTTACTTACCTAAATGTACTCCTGGTTCATCCACGTTGTAGCATGTGTTGGAATTTCCTTCCTTTCTAAAGCTGAATAATATTCCATTGTATGCGTGGACCACATTTTGTTTATCCATTCATCTACCAATGGACGCTTGGCTTGCTTCCACTTTTTGGCTATTGTGAATAGTGCTGCTATGAACATGGGTATACAACTACCTCTTCAAGACCTTGCTTTCACTTCTTTGGGATATATACTAGGAGTGGAATTGCTGGATCATATAGTGATGGCAATTAAAAAAAATTTAGGAATTGCCATACTGTTTTCCACAACAGCTGCACCATTTTACATTCCTACCAGCAGTGGATTAGGGTTACAATTTCTCTACATCTTACCAATACTTGTTACTTTCTGTCTATTTTTGATAATAAAGAAGCTGGGTTTTTTATACACTGACTCCTGCCAGTCATGGATTGAGGGGGCTGCTCCCGGGGGGAGAAGACATTGCCAACCTGCCACGTGGTGAACAAAGAGGCGTCTGGTGGCCAGAGAAAGCCCTCAGTAAAGAAGCACACTGCTGACAGTTGGAAGTTCTTCCAGGCGAAAGTGGCTTTGGTGGCGGAGGTGGGATATGGGTGGAGAACTGTGAACATCTGTGCTCAGCAGTGAGATGGGTGCAAAAAGGATGTCAACAGAGCTCTTCCCAAGAAGACACTTCCAACCACAACATCTAGATGCTCAATGAATATTTCATGAATGAATGAATGAACAAATGAATGAATGGATCCTATGCTCCCTGCAGCTTTCTGTCCTCAATGCCCTGACAATGCCAGCTGCTACAACAGCACCCACTGTGCTTGTAAAGATGGATTTCGTTCCACGTCTGGGACGAGATACTTCATCGAGTCCTCTGAGGAATGTGAAGGTAGGGAAGCAATCCACACTCATTTTGGAGTTTGGAAGGGGTCAGGGGCATCTTTCTAAGCCCCAAACACTGTGTTACATAGGGGTTCTGGTGCTGCAATGATGGTATAATATTACAAGATGAAAAATGTCAGAGGTGCTTCAATGTCCTTAGAGAAGTCCCTAGCCCTTGTCCCCCCTCTACTTTCATCCTAATGCTGGCTTGATGATCCCTGATACTGATTTGGTTTTTCCTTAGAGGGAGATAGAGTTCCCAGGACCCTGGCTTCTTGAAGTCTCAAGCACTGGTGTTTTTTGTTTGTTTGTTTGAGAATTCCACAAGGGCAAGGGTCATATCTGATTTGTTTATTGCTGTATGCCTAGGACAGGGAACAATGTCGCATAGCAGATGCCCAATAAAAATGGGCCGGCCCTGTGGCTTAGAGGTTAACTGCGCGTGCTCTGCTACTGGCGGCCTGGGTTCAGATCCCGGGCGTGCACCGACGCACAGCTTCTCAGGTCATGCTGAGGCCGTATCCCACATACAGCAACTAGAAGGATGTGCAGCTATGACATACAACTATCTACTGGGGCTTTGGGGGAAAAAAAAAAAGGAGGAGGATTGGCAATAGATGTTAGCTCAGAGCCGGTCTTCCTCAGCAAAAAGAGGATTAGCATGGATGTTAGCTCAGGGCTGATCGTCCTCAGAAAAAAAAAAAATGAGTTCACCAAGAGAACAAATGAATTAATTAATATCTTGACGATCAATATCTTCGATTATCTGGCTCCAACTTAGTTTTCCAGTTTCGCTTTTCACTACTCCCATGTCCTCCAGCCAAAACCCTTTCTCATTTCCACAAATTCTAACAGTCAATTTGAATACTAGAGGGAAATACCACTCCTGAATATCTGATTGGTGAAACTGGATGTCTGATTGATGGAGTTGTCGTGTAAATTCAGAAGGTGAAGCAAAAAACAGTAGACCATTTAGGATATATTTTATTTTGTTGTGGAAAAATATACATAAGATACAATTTACCATTTTAACCATTTTTATATGTATCTTTCAGTAGTATTAAATACATTCACATTGTTGTGCAACCATCACCACTATCAATATGACTGAACATTTTATATTAGAAGGCCATAATTTATGTTATAATTATTTGTGAATTATCTGTTCATGTCTTATCCCTATTTTTCTATTGAGGTTTTGTTTCTTTGTCTCTCGATTTTTGAGTTCTTTACCTGTTAGAGATGTTAGTCCTTTGTCTATAGTATACATTGCAAATATTTTCTCCCTGTTTGTCCATCACCTTTGGAGTTGCTTATATATATTTTACCCAAGTGATTAAATAAATTGTTTTTAATGTAAGTTTATCAAGGATTTTAAGTCATCATTAAAATGCCTTTCCCTACACAGAGATTAAAGAAGAATTTATCTATGTTTAATTCTAGTAATTGTATGGTTCCACGTTTACATTTATATCTCCGATTCATGTAGTTTATTCTTGAGAATGGTGAGGTGCAGGTCTCATTACATCTTATTTAAAAATCCATCCTGACCAGGATGAAGGGCACTCTAGAGAAGCGAAGCATGTGAAAATATGTAAGGTGCATTTGCCATACTGTTTGAGAACATTCAGTTCTGCTGCAGAAGAAAAGTAAAAAAACAAATGTGATATATGAAACTCATAAGATGTGTTAAATGTAAACAGTAGGTAGAGCACTTGTGTGTTAAACGTAGATAGAAAGGAATGGAAAGGCCAATGGTAATATTCATGAAGCAATAAATATATATGAGACACCTAGGTACTAAATATTCATGACAAATCAGGTATATAAGAGGCATTTATTGCCCAAGATATACACTATCTACAAGATATACAAGAGCACTTAATATTTTTGAGGTTTTAATTCAGTCACTCATGGTGATAACTATTCTGGCTCATATATCCTCTGCTCAAAACACCTAAACCCATAGCCCAAATAAAACCTATAGGTGTGAAGCAGACTACTAAGAAAGCTACAGCTATTGGACATGTGTACTTGTCTTGCGTTCTTCCAAGAGAGAGAATAAGTGTGAGTCATCGGCTCAGGACACCTTCTGTCTGTGTCTTCCTTTGCTTGAACCTCAACTCTAGTCCATCAGTGGCCAAAGCTGATGTGGCTGGCAGATGCAGAACATATGAACCTTGCATAGGCCAGGATTTAAGTAGTCTAGTCCGTTCATCTCACTTGCACTTTTTCCTAATATTATACAATCATGCATTGCATAACTATATTTCAGTAACGACAGACCACATATACGACAGGAGTCTCATAAGATTAGTACAATAGAGCCTAGGTGTGTAGTAGGCTATACCATCTAGGTTTGTGTAAGTACTCTCTATGATGTTTGCACAATGACAAAATTGTCTAATGACGCATTTCTCAGAACATATCCCCATCGTTAAGCGATACGTAACTTTATTCACTTATCTTATCTCTTTCCTTTTGCTACTGTGTGTTTTAAATTGATTTAATAAACTGGGTGATTCAAGCATTTAAAAAGTTCCATCCTCACTTCAGTGATTTGACATACCACCGTTATCATATTCTAAAGCTCCATATGTACTTGGGTCTATCTCTGGACTTTTAGTCTATTCCATTAGTCTATTTATCTATTCATGCACCGGCACTTCACTGTTTTATTGAGGCTTTATAGTATGTTTTAATGTCTGGAAAGGCTAGTTCCCGCCTTGTAGTTTTTCTGGTTATTCTTGCTTGATAGTATCAACTTGTCTCACTCCATAAAATATGCGTAGATATTTTTTATTGGCATTGTATTGGATTTCTAAGTTAACTTAAGGAGAACTATCATCTTTATAATGTTGAGTCATCTTATCCAAGAACAGGAAGTGTTGTTTGGGGTACATTTATGAACCATGTTGGGTAGTAGAGATTGCACAGGCAAGGGAAAATGGTTTAGTTCTATGAGAACGAACAATGATATTTTCTCTTGATTCACAGATATTGATGAGTGTAAGATTGGACTGGCAAAGTGCAAAGTGATATCATACTGCATAAATATAATTGGAAGTTACTACTGCAGCTGTGTCCCAAATTACCCTATACTCAACTGGATGGCTGCTTTCATTAAATTGAATCATTCAGACTGTCATGATAAGAACCTCCAAATACCCTTTTCCACCAAGACAAAGGAGGTGGAGGGAGAGCCTTTGAGCGTTCCACCAATTTCAGTCCAGAGTAAGAGAGTAGAGATCTGTCCTGATCCTCGCACTTCAATCCATTGTTGCCCTTTGTAATCTTCTCCCAGGAGATCTCATTCAAGCCCATGGCATCAATCACCATCTCTACGTACAAGCCTTACAAATTTTTATCTCCTGCCTGGATCTCTTTCCTGGGCTTTGAAAATGACATTTCTAATTTTCTACTGGACTTCTCTACTTGTATCTCTTTCATTCACTTTAAATTTCAATTTCTATATCTATCTATCTGTCTATATACAAAAACCCATGAGTTTATACTGATAACTCTGATTCCAATCCAACACCAGGGCTTGATCTAACCTTCCCTCTTTCCTTATTTGTAACTTCTTTCTCCAACACTGAGAAACCTGGTTCTCACTATCCAATATACAGTATTTACTTATTTGCTCATCCCTAGTATAATTCCAGGTTTTGGGTTAGACAGATTGGATTTAATTTCTGGCTCTACCACTTACCACCTAACTTTTAAGTAATGACTTAACTTCTATATGCCTCATCTGTAGGTGGGAATAATAATAGCATCTACTGTATTAGTTATGTGTTGCTGTGTAACAAATTACCCCAAAGTTAGTGGCTTAAAACAACATATATTTATTGTCTCACAGTCTGTGTAGGCCAGAAATTGGGGCATGGCTTACCTGGGTCCCCTGCTTCAGAGTTTCTCACAAGTATAATCCAAGTGTTGGCCAGAGCTGAAGTCTCATCTGAAGGCTCATCTGGGGGTAGATCTGCTTCCAAGCTCACTCACATGGCTGCTGGGAGGATTCAGTTCTTTGAAAGCTGTTGGACTGAAGGCCTCAGTTCCTCTCTGGTGGTTGATGAGAAGCTGCCCTCAGTCCTCAATATGTCAGCCTCTCTAGCTTGCTTTATTATAGCCAACCCATGAGAATAGCCAGAAAGAGAGTGTGAATGAAACAGAAGTCATGGTCTTCTATAATCTAATGTCAGATGTGACGAGGCAGGGCAGGAGTTTACACAAGGGTGTGAATAAAGGGATGTGAGGTAGGGGTCACTGAGAGTCATTTCAGAAACCTTCTTACTTCATATATTCATCTCCGTAAATTCATGTCCACTCATGGAACCTGTGAATGTCATTGTATTTGGAAATAGGGTCTTTGCAGATATAATCAAATCAAGATGAGGTCATACTAGATTATGATGGGCGCTAAGTCCAAGATGACTAGTGCCCTCATAAGAAGAGGGAAATTTGGACATAGAGATGCACACACAGAGGGATGTGTGAAAAACAGAAGCATAGATTGGGATTATGCTGCCATAAACCAACGAACATCAAAGATTGCTGGCAACCACCAGCAGCTAGAAGAAGAAAAGAAGGATCTTCCCTAGAGCCTTCAGAAAGACCATAGCCTGCCGAAACCTTGATTTTGGATTTTAGCCTCCAGAACCATGAGAGAATAAATTTCTGTTGTTTTAAGCCTCCCAGTTTGGGGTACTTTGTTACAGCAGCCTTAGGGAGTGAATGCACCTCACCAATGATTATTAAGTCGGGTAAAATATTGAGTGCAGTGCTAGGGACCTAGGAAGGCTCAATAAATATTAGCTATTATTTTTCATAACTCTGTTCTAGAATCTTCTGTGTCCCTTTAAAAGAGATAGTATATATGAAGGCACTTTATAGATTGTGCAGGTATTATTACTGCTTCTATATTATGAACTCAATTAACACCCATTCCTTCAGGAAGCCTTCTCTGCACCCCTGATGTGCGGGGCTCCTCTTCTTCATACTCCCAAGTCATCACGTCCTATTTATTAAAACATGTTGGATCCTTGCAATCACTTATTTATTTGTCCTTATTCTCTTATTGACTTTCCTGCCAGACAGTACACCCCACAAGGGAATACCCTTTGTCTCTTTATCAATCTATATCCATAAGGTTTAGCATCGTGACTGGCTTTTAGTAGGGGCTCCATAAATACTATTGACTGAATTATTGAATTGGAGGCTCCATCCTAATTCCATTTGACAATTCTACTGTGGAAGACATTTGGGACTTCTTAGAGGGATATTAGGATAAGTTGTGGAAGCATCAAGGAAAGACCAAACTTGAGGGTGATTGGAAGAAGGGATGGGATCCAGGGTGTGTTACCTCCCATACTCCATTTAACAGCTTCTTTTCTTTCTCAGAGAACTCCAGTAAGAAGACACCATCGGTGGACATGTGGGTGAGGAAAGTGAAGCCTAGGTTTGGGAAATAGCCAGTTGGTCTTACCATGTCATTCTCCTGCTCAAATACTATTATGGTTCCCTATGACTTTTAGGATACAGCAGTTTTCACTCAGGAATGATTTTGTCCTCTGTCCCAGGGGACATCTGGCAATGTCTGGGGATGTTTTTGGTTGTCACAACCAGAGTGCTAGTAGCTTCTAGTGGGTAGAGGTCAGGTATGCTTCTAAACATCCTACAATGCCCAGGACAGCTTCCCACAACCATTAACTGGCCTCAATATCAATAGAGATTGAGAAGACCTGGTAAAGAGTTTAAATGCCTCAGCTGTCATTCAAAGATGTGCAGGAAGCATCTAGAGCCTCATTCCACCCCTCTCATCACTTCCCATTCCCTGTCTTCCTCCATGAGTCACTCTTCATAGGTTTCAGACATCTCATCCTTTAAGGCTTCATGTTCTCACAAATACCATGGAGATAACGATATACCCTTCACAGGGCTGTGTGTGATAAATGAGAAAAGACATATCAGGTTGATAGCACAGAGTCTAGTAGCACCTTATTAAATATTGTTGCCTTCTGGGCTTACCCAGCCACACTTATGTATATTCCTGTTTTCTTAAGTTTCAGTGAGACTCTACATAATTAGATTTATTTCTTTGAAAGGAAATTCTGAGGAACAATGGAAGCAAAGAGTACATTGCAAAACAGGCTACCCAACTGCTTCAAAGCATGGAATTAACCATATGGAATCAGAGTTTTGCTTCTCCAGGAAAGCATGAAAATTCCATGTTCGACATAGGTAAGAAACGCTGAGCATTTTCCTTATGACCAAAAAATTTTATGAGGATGATCTTTCGTCAGAGCTTGTGTTTATATCTTTCATCAGAGCTTGTGTTTATATGTTTATATGGCGTGAAGAGAGTTCACTCATGGGATTCTTCCCAAATGCAGAAGATATTCTCCTAGATGACTGTTTCCTTGGAAAACTTTTAAATGCTTAGCTTGTCTTAAAAAATTAAGCTCCCCGCCGCATCAGGTACTCCAGTACACATGATTTAAAATTTTTGTGCCCTTTAAATATTTTATGGTAAAAGCTAAGCTTGCCCACCCTAGTTCCACTCTGGGAAACATGGCCGTCTCCTCTCTTCCCCTGGGTTGTGTGGCCAGTGTGTGTTGCTTAGGCCTTTTGACCGTTTCATCCCCACCAGCCAGAAATGTGGAGGGGAGTGCCATCTGGTCTATCTTGCATGCAGAAAATGAAATCACCAGTAAAAGGTCTTTCAAAGAAGGGAGTTCTTCGACAAGTTTCTTAGCCGTGAGAAGTGAACAAAACAGCACTCACTTTCAATGTTTTCAGTCTATGAAACCAAGATGTGCAATGAGACAAATGAGAAGATTCTTCTGGAAGCTGGAAATAACACAATGCATATTGACTGCACTGATGCTTTCAAAGGAACCACAAGAGGTACTGTGCCTCAGATGGATTTTCTTGACCTCCAAATTCTAGGCACTGTCATCTCACTTCTAGGTGACTGTCCAAGAGGTGGGGACTTACAGAGTTTTCAAAGCAGGAGGATTCTATACAGTGAAGTTAAAAGATCTGCTTTGATCACAACTAGGCAATTTTGGGGACACAATTTGTGTGTACTTTGTGACACACACTGAGGGTCAAACAAGGATATCTTGACATGCTTCTTTAAAAGGGACAGGCTGGTGCATGCCCTGTTTCCATGTAAGGGTCTGAAAATGTAACACTCAACGATAGCAGATGAATGTTGCCTCAAACACTCCTTCCCTTGGGAAGCATTTTATGGTCATCCTATTTAAAATAGCCACCCAGTCTTCCTCTATCCCACAAGTTGGAAAACTTTTTCTGTAAAAGGACCAGAAAGTAAATGTTTTTGACTTTTGGGGCTAGATGATCTTTATTATAACTACTTAACTCTGATATTGTAGTGGGAAAGCAGCCATAGGCAATATGTAAATGAAAGGGTATGACTGTGTGCCACCAAAACTTTATTTACAAGAATAGGTGGTGGGCTGGATTTGGTGTACTCATGTACACCAAATTTCGTGGTAGGCTGCTTTATTCCATCACCTCATTTAAGTCTCTGCATAGCATCCACATTATGTAATATTTTTCTAATTTATTTATTTGTTTGTTGTCCATCTTTCCCATTATGTCAGCTCTCTGACGGCAGGGACTCTGCCTGTTTTGTTCACTGCTGTACCCCAATGCCTAGAACACTGTCTGGCACACAGTAGATGCTCAATAAATATGTGATTAATAAATGAATAAATATATTAATGAATGAAAGCATGAAAAATTTCTCAAAAAGAAAGACGCAGTTACCTTGAGAGAGTGAAATACCTGCTATATTACCTCCAGAAAATTTCCGGCTACTGATTAATTTTCACTCCTTACTGTGAGCTATAGAATGGAGGCAAGGGAGGTAAAAAGATATAAAAATCAGTTGATTTTTTAAACAGAATAAGTAATAATACAGGTAGTAAGTGACTTTGGCTAAAACTGGAATGGTAGCACATGAGCACATAATTGCAATTTAGGAAACACTGCATCATGCTACAAAGCATCATATGTGCATTTAACTTCTGTGAAATAAATTATTCTTGCATGAAAAGGGGATTGGCAAAGGACAGGAGGGAGAAAGAGAGAGTGAAAGAGGGACAGAGACAGAGGCAGAGAGAGAGGAAGAGGGAGGGAAGGAAGGAGAATGAGAGAGTGAATTAAATCGAATGGGTCCCACTAAACTAGACAACCCGGAGTAAGCTTGAGATCAAAGATGAGACTATGTAGTTTCCTCATCCCACTCAATTCCACCTTCTGAGGACAAACATCTTGCCTCACGACTCTGATTTTGATGTCTAAGGGCTCATATGTATTTTACAACACATAGATGGGATATGTTGCATATATATCCTTTATAATGTGTGGTGCGTTACAATATGTATTACATACACAAAATGCTAAACCACATGTAATGCATTGATTGGGCAATGTAAGGGATTTCCAAGAGTGATTTTGTCTATACATTATGTTTGCCTCATGACTCACACAAAACTCTAGTGCACCGTTCCTCAAACTATAGACACCCTCCAAAATGATTTCTCTCCTATTTTCTCAGATAGGAGTGCAGTTGCATTTATCACTTATCGATCTCTTGGGGATATTCTGAATGGATCCTTTTTTAGTGATAGAAGAGGGACAAAGGAAGTGAAACTGAACTCTCGTATTGTGAGTGGCACCATTGGTGTGAAGGAAAAGGTTTCTCTGTCTGAACCTGTATTCCTGACCTTCCAACATACTCAGGTGAGCGAAACCCACGGCTGGTCCTCTATACGTTAACTTAAAGGGGTGTATTATCAGGGTCCTGGGAGGGAAGTGAATCCAACTTTGATCATTTAGAGTGAAGAGAACTGACAATAAATGTGGATGCATTCAGAGACTGCAACCAAGGGAAGCTATTATCACATTGGAGCCAAAAAGGGAATGGAGGGATGAACAGTATTGAGCCTAGGAGAGCTAGAGGCATGGAAGAGGGATTGCCCTGCTGGAGGTAGAGATAGCCTGGAGCAGAAAAAGAGTCTGGAAGAAATACCTGACCCCCTTCTCCTCTCATCCAATGATCTCTCACCAGTTCTTCTCATTGGTTCCACCAATGACAAGGAACCCAGGTGAATCAGTTCATACAGGTCAATTCCTGGGGCTCTGAGGTGACCAGAGAAGGGCAGAATGAATGAAGAATAAACCCCACAGCAGACGTGGTGGTATGGAACTCTTCCCCACAATTGTTCCAGATGATGAGAATTTTTTCCAATCCAGTTTCCAACCCAGTGAATCTGTGACTAACCTATGAAGCTGAAATGATAAAACCAGAGACACACTTTTATGCTATTCTCTTTCCAGCCTGGTGGGGCAAGAACGAAATATTTCTGTGTCTACTGGAAAGGATCGGAGGAGGGGGGCAGCTGGTCAATGGAGGGCTGCTCTCATGCGGGCAGCAACGATTCTTACACCAAATGCAAGTGCTTCCACCTTTCCAGCTTTGCTGTACTCATGGCTCTTGCTCCCAAGGTACCAAGATTCATGGTCCCCTCCTGTGAATCTGATTGTGTCTAGGAAGCTGGGAGATCCTTTCCATGTCTTAGAAAAAGCCTCTAAGATAAGGAGTCACGTGGAAGGTAATTCCAGGAAACACCAGTAGGAGACTGGGGAAGTGAAATGGGGAAGGGACAGAAGCCAATGCAAAGAGCATTATCAAGCCAGTTACCACTGTGGGTGACTGACAGTTAATTCTCTCTGGAGGACTCGGGTGTTAATGTAGAAGACACACCTCAGAGTCATATTAACTGAACAGCGAGAGAGCTGAAGTGTTTATACACCACCTTCCTTCAGTCACTGTTGAAAGCTGCATCTAGGGGACATTAATTCTCTGATGCTCCCATGGGCATGGGCAGAGTGAGCTTGAGCTAGTAGAAAAAGTTCCCAGACATGGGAAAGTTGCATTATCAGACCCTACAGTAGAAAGATCCAAGGTTATTTGGGTTCAAAAACATCCATTACTCTGCAACAAAGAGTTACAGCTAAACCTTCCTGGGCAGATCAGAAGGAAGGCAACGGACTATCACTAATGAAAAAGCATAATCCCCTACACTTCCTAGGTCCCAACCATGTCTAGGATAACTCAGGTTTAAAGAAATTTACCTGACTTCTTCCTCTATTTCTTTTTAGCTCCCATTTATTGAATATTTACTGTATGACAACCATTATATTGCATATTTAAATGCATGGCCTCATTTTATTCATTCAAAAAGTTCATATATGAGTGCCTACTGTATGCCAGATGCTATTCTAGGCATTGGGGATACAGCAGCGAACAAGACACATAAGGAAATACCAACCTTCATAGAGATTTCTTTTTTTATTTTTCCTCCCAAAGCCCCAGTAGATAGTTGTATGTCATAGCTGCACATCCTTCCAGTTGCTGTATGTGGGACACGGCCCCAGCATGGCTGGAGAAGCGGTGCATTGGTGCGCGCCCAGGATGCAAATCCCGGGCTGCCAGCAGTGGAGTGTGCGCACTTAACTGCTAAGCCACAGGGCCAGCCCCCATAGAGATTGCTTTTAAGTACTGTGTTGTCCGGTAGGATCACCAGCCTCATGTGGCGATTGAACACTTGAAATGTGGCTAGTGTGACTGAAGAACCAAATTTCAAATTTTATTTAATTTCAATTTATTTAAATTAAGAAGCGGTGTATAATATTTTTCCATTAAACACAACTTTACTGTTTAGAAGGACTACATTTCACTTTTACCATTGAAAATATGCCATCCGAATTGAGATGTGCTATAAGTGTAAAATATACACTGGATTTCAAAGGCTTAATATGGAAAAAAGAATATCAAATATTTCATTAATACTTGTTTTACATTGATTGTAATTTGAACTGATTATATTTTGTTATATTGATTACATTACATTCAACACATTGAACTGATAACATTTTGAACATATACTATTAGATTAATTTGACCTGTTTCTTTTTACATTTTAAAAAATACGGCTACTAGAAAATTTAAAGTTATACATGTGGCTCACATATTTCTATTGCACAGCGCCAGTCTAGTGGTTTCAGTTTTTCAACAGCTCTGTGAGGTAAATGCTATTAGTATCCCTATTTTGAAATGAGAACATCAAGTCACTTGTTTGAGGGACTGAACTGGGAAACCCATCTGACTTTCCATCAGGAACATAAATGCAAAGTTGGAAACTATAACCGATTCCTCCTTTGGTGGCTCATAGGTGGATCCTGTTCTGGCTGTGATCACCTGTGTGGGACTGAGCCTCTCTCTGCTATGTCTCCTCCTGGCAGTCCTCACCTTCCTCTTCTGCCGACCCATCCAGAACACCAGCACCACCCTCCACCTGCAGCTCTCCATCTGCCTCTTCCTGGCCCACCTCCTCTTCCTCACAGGGATTGATAAAACTGAGCCTGAGGTATATGATTTAACCAAATTATCTTGTTGTCATAATCAAATCCAGCCATCTTTCTTGAGGAAAGATGGGGAGAGAGGCAATAATCAGCAGTGATGATGTAGGAGGAAAAAGCAAGTGTTCCAATTTCAGCTCTCCTCCTGTATAACTTTGAACAAGACTCATATTTTCTGAGGGTCAATTTAGCAAAGAGATTGAGATGGTATTAGATAGGGTTACAATAGTTGCTGTAACAAGTAAACTCCAAAATCCCAGTGGCTTATCACAAAAGTAGTTAATTTTTCCCTATGTATGAGCAAATAGGTTTGAAGAGTGTCTATCCTCCAACTTCAGGCTGATGGAGCTCTTCTGTCTTCCATACTCAGCTTCCAAGGTCACCCTGGGATCCTTTCCATTTTAGCTAACTGGAAAGAGAAAAGCAGCATGGTGGACTCCTATCAGGGAGGTTTATATGGGCCACTTCAGGAAGCGGTGCATATCACTTCCTCTCACATTCTATTGGCTAGAGTTCAGTCACATGGTCACACCTAACTGAAAGGGGTGCTGGGAAATGTGGTCCCTGGTTGGGAAGTCACATCCTAGTGACAAATCTATATTCCAGAATTGGGGGTGGAAGGAGGCTTGAATTTTTGGTGGACAGTGACTTCGCCGCACTAATCTGCACTTGAATCTCTACTCTTCATTCTACTTGCTATATGACCTTGTTGAAGTAATTTCTCCATTTTAAACTTCCTCTCTAAAACTTGGGCATCATCATAGGACTCTAGTAAGGACTTAGCAGGATAAAACACAGAAAGAGTCTGGATTAATCACTCAGAGAACAGTGTTAGCTTTTATCTTCATCATCATTAGCAGCAGCAGCATCATCAGCATCATCATATCCAGGAAGAATTGGAACTAGATATTCTCCAAGGCTCCTTTTAACCCTAAAAGACTATGATCTCACAGCCAGCAGCTTATGAGAGCCCCATTTGTTTTTTCTCCTGAGAGGCAGTATGGTGCTATGGTTAAGAGTAAGTAAGCTTTCTGGAGACAATTTGGGTTTTAAATCCATTTTTACTTTTCACTAGCTGTGCGATCTTGGGTGAGATTTTAACCTCTCTCGGCCTCAGTTTCTTCATTTGAAAATGAGCAGAGGTTGGCAGACTACACTACTCAGGCCGAATCTGGCCCACCATCTGTTTTTGTAAATAAAATTTTATTGGACACCGATGTCTGAGGGCTGGAGGGGATGGATGTCCCAGCTCAAGCAGAGAGAGAAAAATCTCCCTTCCTCCAACTTTTTGTTCTGTTCAGGCCCTTAAGGATTGAATGACGTCCACCCTCATTGGTGATGGTGATCTTCTTTGTTCAGTCTACTGATTCAAATGCTAATCTCTTCCAGAAACACTCTCACAGACACACTCAGAAATAACGTTTTACCAGCCATCTGGACATCCCTTAGCCCGGTCAAGTTGACGTTTAAGGTTAACCATCACACCCACCCAAAGGGCAAGAGCAATGGAGTATTCATTTGCCAATTCTCCATCATCATGGATTTGAGGGCTGCTCCCGCGGCATTCATTCCTTGGCACTTCTGGCCCATCCTATGCATGGGGTTAGCAGATTTCAATGGCTAGTCAAAGCCCCTAGAAAATATGTTGCCCCTACACAGAATGTCACAGGTGTTGGGAATTGATATTCCAGGCCAGCATCCAGGAAATGGTAAGTACAGAGCATATGATCAGGTACAGACCTCACCGGCTCCACGTTCCTAACTCTCCTCTCCCCTCCAGGTGCTGTGCTCCATCATTGCGGCGATGTTGCACTATCTCTCCTTGGCCTCCTTCACATGGATGCTCCTCGAAGGGCTACACCTCTTCCTCACTGTTAGGAATCTCAAGGTGGCCAACTACACCAGTGCAGGCAGATTCAAGAAGAAGTTCATGTACTCTTTTGGCTACGGGATTCCAGCTCTGATTGTGGCCGTGTCTGCAATAGTAGGACACAAAAATTATGGAACGTTCACTTAGTAAGCACAATGGAGGCATTTATGGTGGAAGTGGTGTCCATGGCCAATATATGAACTGAAATCAAAAAGAAATTTTAAGTCCATTTTCCAATTGTGAATTACAATTCAAACTTAAGTCCTTCCTTAAGTCTGAATTCTATTTTCTCTTGGAAGTCCTTAGAGCAGTGGTTCTCAGCATCTTTGGGATGGGATCCCTTTGAGAATTTTGGTGAAATACAGGGCCTATTTCCCCAGACAAATGTACATACACACAAAATTTTGAATACAACTTCAGGAAATTCAGGGACAGGTAAAGCATATCCATGACCACACATTAAGCACCTGTGGGTTCTATGTTCTGCAGGGTTCTGAAAGCCTAGGTTGAATAGGTTGAGGCTAATCTCCAAAACGTAAAGAATAGCAACAATAGCAACAATTCTTGAAGGCCTGTGATGCCTCAGAGAAAGTACTTCCTATGTGCAGTATCTCAACTCATTCTCTCTAAGACCCTGTGATGTCAGCAGTGTTTATTACCTCATGCACGGGACATATGGGGCTTAGTGCATTTAATACCTTCTCAAGGTCACAGCTAAACAGAGAATAAGTCAGAATTCCCAAGGCAGTGCTCTTAATAGCTATTTTTTTTCTGCCTCACTAAAGAAGATTGCAAAGCTCTGCAAAGTTCGTTGAAGAAATTAGTATTTTGGCAATTGGCCTTGGGTTAGGAGGTAGGTGTGCATGTGCTAAAACAACATGTATGAGGCCGTCCCTCTTGATGTCATAGAGATGCCCTGTCTCCAGCTTGAAATCTATGTCCTGCCTGAATGATTCTGAAGATATAATGGTAGGGTAGATCAGGGTTTGGCAAACTGTTTCTATAAAGGGACAGATGGTAACTATTTTTGGCTTTGCAGGCCATTTGACCTTAGTGGCAACTACTCAATGTTACACTTGTAGTGTGAAAGCAGTCATAGACAATATGTAAATGAATGGGTATGGCTGTGTTTCCATAAAACTTTATTTATAAAAAGAAGGGATGAACTGGATTTGGCCCATGGCCGTAGTTTGCAACCCTTGGAATAGAGCTAAGTGTGGGAGCTTCTGTGCCCACTAAGTGTTGGCAATCACTTGTTACTTTTACCAGTTTCATACGACCAGGTCCCCTTTCAGCATAAGTTATACTTCCTCTGGCAACATAAGTTATGACAGAATACAAAGTATTTTGGCAACAAAGTACTTGGTATATGGAATATGCTTAATTAGTGCTGGTAGTTTTGATAGCTGTAGTTAAAATACTGTTTTTACTCTCTTTCTTACTATAGCAATCATTATTATTAGGATACCTACATTTGTTGAACCTTAACTCTTTGACAGGAACCTTATCCAAAAACTGTATGCACTTTATCTCATTTAATCTTTCCTACAAGATCTATCCAAGGAAAATCTTGGTGAAAAAAATAAAAAAACATTCAAAAAAATGAGGACAGAGTTCATGTTCATGGATAGGAAGACTCGGTATTGTCAAAGTCAACATTCTTCCCAACCTGATCTATGGATTCAATGCATTCTCAATCAAAATCCCAGAAAATTATTTTGTGGATATTGACAAACTGATTCTAATATTTACATGGAGATGCAAATGACCCAGAATAGCTAACAGAATGTTAAAGGAGATGAACAAAGTCAAAAGGACTACCTGACTTCAACTTGGTCTGTAGGTGCAGTAATCATTTAATCTTTTCAATACTTCTGTTAGCCCCACTCTACACTTGGAGAAACGGAGACTCAGAGCTTGTGTCAGATGAGTACTCATGACCAATTCTATTTAAAATCCAGGTCTGAACTAACCACCTACTAACACTGCTCAGATCTTGCTACAGGAGCCTGAATTCAAGTCCTTTGCCTTCTCTTGAGGAAAAGCAGCTAATTCTTAGCTTTCTTTCAACAGCTGCTGGCTCCAGTTTGATAATGGGTTCATCTGGAGCTTGAAGGGGCCAGTGGCAGTCGTTATCTTGGTAGGTGACCAGTGATATATATTTATTGGTGTGCCTATCTTGGGTTGGCCAAGCATAGAGAGTATGTTTCTTACCTGCTAAAGTGGAAATGAGGTGAAGATAAGCAAATATAGTGTAATGTGATCAACCCCTCTTACTGGAAACACTGTTTTCACATGTCTTTCCCCGACTTCCCTCTATCTCACTGGTTGTTTTGATATAATATAACCCTCTGCCGGGCATTCTTTTAAAAATTCTACATGTGTTCATTCAACAAATATTTAGCAAGTATCTACTCTGCATAGAGTGACATGTTTTCCTGTTTGCCAGGACCTTCCCATTCATATCTATTGCCCACGTACAGATATGAATAGCACTCTTTCACATTCAAGGTGTCTTGGTTTGTATGATAAATTATATAGTCACCATAATCAAGCACTAAGTGCCACTGGTTATATACGGTGTGCTGTATAAAAGACCAGAGCATATGTTCATATCATCCTTATGAATCCTGTCTCTTTTGGGAAAAGATTCTTAGGTCCACCTCAAGTTCAGTTGCATGACATGGCCTCAAAAGAAAATTCCAAGTCAATTTTGCATGCTGTTTCCACAGATAAACTTGGTGTTCTACTTCCAAATTCTGTGGATTTTGAGAAGCAAACTTTCCTCCCTCAATGAAGAAGTTTCCACCATTCAAGATACCAGGTAAGGTACCAGATTTTTCCTGCAGGACAAATCTGCCTGGGAAAGAAAAACCCACTCAAAAACATGACATAAAATTTCCTGGTGCTGGATAAAGAGTACATGACGGCCAACTTACAGAAGAAGGAAAAGCTATAATTTTCAGGTAACTCAATGTACTCTCCCATCTCTTTATTCAATATATATTCATTGGGTGCCTCCTTTGTGTAGTATACTTTTAATATAAAATTTATATCAAGAGTATTATCCTTTTCCCCCCTAAGAGTACACCTACTTTTGGTTTCCATTCTCCTTTGTTGTATAAACTCAATTCTCACTGGTGCTGATCTAAATTATGAAAAATACTGATAACAACTAATATTAACTAAGAACTTAATAGATGCTGGACATTTACCAATATTATTTCATTGAATTCTCATAACTCTAACCAATGTGGTGGGCACTACTAATATCCCCATTGATAAGAGGAACAAACTGATTATCTTGTCCATGAGTGGGGAAGAACCTGTGTTGATGAGTCAAGTGGACAAAACTTAAAAGAATATCTGTCCAACTTCACACCCTGGCTTTTGATCTCATCTACTTATCAGACCAACCTAGCATCTCTTAGCCTTAGTTTCTTCATCTTCTCTCTTCTTCATCATCTTCTTCCTCTCTTCTCAGTTGCTTCAGGAGGGTCAGAGTGTCACCTGTCTTGGTGTTTCCACATTCTTCTACACGTGTGTGGATGAGTGCAGGCTCATGCATGTGCATGTATGCAAACACACACACATGCACTCATGTGCATCAACTCTCCCAGCCAGTTGCCATCAACAACCCCAGTCCATTTTACCAAACACAATTTTTGCTTGAAGAAACCCAACACGGCGATATGTTCTGAAGCCACGATATCAACATCATCTAAATTTTTCAATACAAATCTCTAGAAGGCACTTTCCACAAATCTTCCAACAGGTCCAGGTAAAAGACTTTGTGGATAAATCACTTACAAAGAGTGGGAGAAAGCGTTAGTCCCAGAGGCAGTGACTGAAAACATGGGTTCTGCCTCGTCCTCAAGTAGTATGACTTTTGTAAGTTACTTAGCCACACAAGGTTGTTGTGAGATTTAACTAAGGCAATGCATACAAAGCATTTAGCACAGTGCCCAACAAATAGGGAGTATCTGATAAATGGTAGTTATTATCACTCTTTTCCTTTTCAGAGTCATGACATTTAAAGCCATCGCTCAGCTATTTATCCTGGGCTGTCCTTGGGGCCTTGGTTTTTTTATGGTTAAAGAAGTCGGGGAGACAATCAGATCAGTTGTTGCCTATGCATTCAGCATCATCAATGTCCTGCAGGGCGTTTTTCTCTTTGTGGTACACTGTCTCCTTAATCGCCAGGTAAGGCTAATAATTCTGTCTCTCACCAGCCTAGTCCCGAAGTCTTGTTGAATGGTTGTTTACATTCTCACTCCTCTCTGAACTTTTGTGTTTGTATTTTGGGGTTGTCTTGATTATGGGAAGAGGGTTTAGGTGCTGCTTGGGTATGCCGTGTGCGCTGGGTTTCATTAGCATTCTAACATTTAGCTTTCTAACATATCTCTCAAGAGCATACATTCCTCAGCTTGGGACGCTATAACAAAATATCATAGACTGTGTGGCTTAGACAACAGAAATTTATCTTCTTACAATTCTGGAAGCTGGAAGTCTGAGAGTAGAGAGTGAGTACAGTCAGGTTCTCACGAGAGCTCTCTTCTTGGCTGGCAGATGGCCACCTTCTCACTGTGTCCTTATGTGGGAGAGAGAATGAGAGAGTGCTTTTGTGTCTCTTCTTATAAGGACACTAATCCTACCGGATCAGGGTTCAACCTTATGACTTCATTTAACCCTAATTACTTTCATAAAGGTCGTATCTCCAAATACAGTCACATTGGGGGGTTAGGGCTTTAACATATGAATTTTGGGGGGACACAATTCAGTTCATAGCAGAGCATGTATGAGTCAGGATAATGTAGATTATGCTGCAGTAACAAATAGCCCCTCCCTCTATAATTTCAGTGGCTTACACCAATAAAGGTTTATTTGTCACTCAAACTATATAGCTATGGCTTGATATACATTGTCTTCACTCTGGGTTGTAGGCTTGAGGGGGCAGCCCTCATTTAGAACATTGGCATTCTTATGGCAAAGGGAAAGGAGATCATGGCAGAGTACAGCTTAGCTCTCTTTTATTGGCCAAAATAAGTCACATGGCCATACTTGAATTCACCAGAGAGAGAATGAATAATCCTCCAGTAGTGAGGTATACTATAGGGAGGGACACTGGAATATTTGGCATAATCTACCACAATCTCACAGAGACTTCAACTCTAATTCCAGTTTTTCCACTGAGTGAGTTGCTGTGTGACCCTGGGCAGGTTGCTTACCCTCTCTGAGCCTTGGTTTTCTCATCCACAAATGTGGTAATACCTTCCTCACAGAGTTGAGAATTAAATGAGATAATGCTATGTAAATCTCCTAGCACAGTTCTTGGCACATATTAAGTTCTCAGTGAGCGTCATTATTATAATTTTACTCTTTACAGAAGATTGGGAACAGTTTTCCTGAAGTTTTTCCTTTGCTATTAAATGGAACCACCAGCAACTAAGATTGGCAAAGAGACCATCTTAACACTTCATTAATTTCTCTTTCATCTTTTATTGCCTTATTAATTCTTGGTACTCTTCAAACACAGAAGAAGTAAAATACAATTTCAGTGTCTTGATGAAATAATGTTGAGTGTTAAATACTTAAATATCTTTTAAGAATGTGTCAAGGTGGTTAAAAGAAGGCAACTGATGGAATCACAGGGGTGGTTTAGTGTAGGGGTTAGTGTCATGGCTCTGGAGTAAGAATGACATGATTTTTGAACACTGGCCGTGTGACCTTAGACAAGTCAATTTACCTCCAAGAGCCTCAACTTCTTCATCTTTAATTGGGGATAAAAGAATTACCTTCCTCATTGGGCTCATGTAAGAACTAAATGATACATTGTTTATAAAGTGCCTTTAACGTGGCTATATTCAATAAATAGTGACCTTCATCATCATGATCACCAACACCACCATCACCTGCATTATCATCATTATCATGACCACAATCACTTTTGTAATTACTACCATCATCATCACCATCATAATCACCTTCATCATCATCACCATCACCACCTTCATTATCTTCATCATCACCTGCATTATCATTATCATCATGACCATCATAACCTTCATTATCATCACCGTCATCACCACCATCTTTAGCACCTTCACCATCACCATCATTGTCATCACCATCATCACCACCATATATAGAGTCCATATGGTGTCTGACATTTAGTAAGCAGCTTTTCTACAATTGAGGAAGTTGACTTTAAATAAAATGAATCAACATAAGCATGGCCAAGATTATACAGAAAACCAATGAAAGAGCAGTAGAGAGTAGGGCTTAGATGTATATCTTTAGTCTCCTACTTTAGGGTCCTGTCTCCTGAACCAAGCTCTGGATGTAACACAAGCCTCTATATTCCTCAAACTTTCAGGTGCGAATGGAATACAAGAAATGTCTTAGTGGAATGTGGAAAGGGGGTGAAATTGAAAGCACTGAAGTGTCTCTCTCAACTATCCACACCAAAATGGTAAGATCAGCTCTTCTGCGGTGCCATGTTCTTGTGTGAACCCAAAATCTCGTGGTACCAGGAGCTTCCTGGTTTCTTGATCTGACAGAAAAGAGAAATTGCATTAGATTCCTGCATTACACAGCTGAAATTTCTGGTTTTTGAGACCAAAACCAGAAGAGCTCTTCTTTCTTTCTTTCTCTCTCCCTCCCTGCCTCCTTCCTCCCTCCCACCCTCTCTTCCTCCTTCCTTAACTCCCTCCCTTCCTTCCCTTCCTTCCTGTCTTTTTCTCTCTTTGTTTCTTTCTCTCTGTCTCTCTCTCCCTCCCTTCTTCTCTCTTCCCATCTTCCTCTTTCCTCCTTCCCTCCCTCCCTCCCTCCCTCCCTCCTTTCTTTCTTTCTTTCTTTCTTTCTTTCTTTCTTTCTTTCTTTCTTTCTTTCTTTCTTTCTTTCTTTCTTTCTTTCTTTCTTTCTTTCTTTCTT